ATGTACACAGTTCATTAAGAACAGCTAAACTTTCCTTCGTGGTTCCAAGTGTGTGGTAGTTCTATAAATATTATCTCTGCCTCTGTGCTACCTATATCCAGATCCTAAGAAACATTCCCTTGGAAACCAGTCCTATTTATTTCAACAGTATTTACATCCAAGAGTGTTTACTTATAACTTACAAAAAAGTTGTGAACCTAGCAGGCTAGGTTCACAATCCAACCAAGACTGAATTCAGGTGAAGCCTTGCTACTCACCAGCAACCATGAGACTCAAATGAGAGCCAAGGGCATATCTATCAGTGTGAACCCAAAAGCCAGCATCTTGCAATGGACTGCATATGTCCATTTACATTACAAATGGGAACTCTATATAATGAGAACTGACAGCAGACTTTATGTGGGGAAATTTAAGAGCACCAATTTCCACGTGGGCTTAAAAACAAGCCAGCTATTACTTTTGCTCATTTTGTGTGCATTCTGTTTAAACACTGGATGTATGAGATAAAACTCAGCTTGCATAGTTTAGTTGTACCTAGCAAACTAAGTCTAGGGGGTGTAAAAGGTGGGCAAGTCACATAAAGCGCTTCCCTCAGGTAAAAAAAAAGATCCAAAGTTAGTTTTGAAGAGAATTGTGCATACAGTAAGCAAACAGGCTGCTAGTATAACACAGGTGAGCACCACATGAGCAAATGAAGAAATGAGTTTGCTACAAGCCTCATCATACCTTTGTGTCCACAGTGCATTCATTGTAAAGACCATTAGCACATCTGTTCGATATTTGGGTGGTTGTAAGGGAGCAAATCTAAAAATACTTGAGCAGTTGTGCATGTACGCCATATGCTACGGAAGGGCTGTTAAAGGGAAAGACAAAGATGTCAAGGTGTGCTCAACAGGGCAGAAAGTGCTAAACATTCTGTGAAGTACAGAAATAAACCAGGATGGTGGTAGTGTCAAAAAGGAACAAACCCTTCTTTTTTAAAGGGAAATCTGGCATTTTGATTTGAACTGAGGCATAAGAGTAATTCCCTCTGATAATGTCAAAACTGTCCAAAGACATTTTATGTCCCAAGAGGCTGCACACACAATCTGACAAGTGCACCCCTCAATTCCTTGTAGTACTTTTCGGGGTGCTCTAAAAATATTGTAAAGTATCGACAGGTAATGGGCTTTTATGGGCCCAGCTCAGTTCAAAGTCTTTATTGGATCTTCCAAATAATGTTTTCTTTGTTGATTCTGTCTGATAAAGCTCAGTGATAAAAGCTCATCTGGAGTGATGTTGCTTTGTGATGGGTACCAAAAGCTAAAAGGTGGACTGTAAAGCAAGTGGCTATCTCTTTTCATTAGCTTCCATTAATGAAACATCAAACAGTCATCCAGGGGTTTTAGCAAACAATCAACTTTTAAAATAAAAAAATAGAAATCAAATACAGTGGTACCTCGGGTTAAGTACTTAAATCATTCTGGAGGTCCGTTCTTAACCTGAAACGGTTCTTAACCTGAAGCACCACTTTAGCTAATGGGGCTTCCTGCTGCCGCTGTGCTGCCGCAGCACGATTTCTGTTCTCATCCTGAAGCAAAGTTCTTAATCCAAGGTACTATTTCTGGGTTAGCGAAGTCTGTAATCTGAAGCGTATGTAACCTGAAGCGTATGTAACCCGAGGTACCACTGTAACAGTTTTATATCGTGTTCTGGAAGATATGGAAAAATGTGGTTCCCTCTGAATGCATCTTAAAGCTTAAAATCTCCTCTCATGCACAAAGGAGGAGGAAGGAAAGGGAAGCAAACAAGCATGAGGTGTGCGATGGTCCATCTCATTACAGCACACCATGGTTTGCTGTAATACCCGAATCCAATATATTTATCCAGTCACACAATTCTGAAATTATTTCACAGTGGGTTGGATGGCATTGTTGTCCTTCCCAGGTTTCAGTTGCAAGCCAAGTTTCCAAAGCTTTGTTTGTCTTCCAGCTGCTCTTGCTTTATCCCATTGCAGGTTTGGAGCATCTTGGCTGAGGGTGGTGAAGCAAACTATGGTGAAGGAAAAGTCCACACACTCTACCAAATCAAAATAAACCAAGGTTCATAAGCCAACAAGCCATTACTTTAGATGTGGTTTGTTAGCAGTAAACAAACCATAGTTAGGCAACTGGGAAGTTTATCAGTTTATCAAGAAGCCATGGTTTGATAAACCGCAGTTTATCATACTATGGTTTAACGCTACATACAAACAAGGCTTTTCAACCATTTATATTGGAAGTTGATGTCTGATAACTTCATTGATTATAAAAGATTCAGACTAAGCAGTTTTTGACAGCATAATCCTATGTACAGTTGTACATTGGAATTTGAACGGCTTAGTTGCTGAACGTTTTGTCTCCTGAATGATCAAAAACCGGAAGTGATTGCTCTGGTTTTCAAATGTTCTATTGGAAGCCGAACGTCCAGCGGGTCTTCTGCAGCTTCCGATTGGCTGCAGGAGCTTCCTGCAGCCAATCGGAAGCCACGCCTTGGAAGTCAAACATTTTGGAAGTTGAACAGACTTCCAGAACGGATTCCATTTGACTTCCAAGGTACACCTGTATGTTTAATCAGAGGCAAGTATCTCTGAGTTCAATGAAGCTTTCTCTAAATATAGGTATCCATAATATTGCAGCCTAAGGTTTTTTTTTCCCTCCTCAGCTAACACAGCTTGCTGCTTCATGACATTAAGATGGAACCAAGTGGTTTGCACTATGCTTAGGTCCCACAGATACTATAACCAATAAAATAAGCTGGGGCATAATTGAGAAACACACTGGAGCATGGTGAGAGTTTCGTGACTGCCTTGCAGGCTTGCAAAGCCAAAAGTGGCACTTGATAAGCCCCATCCATGTCTCCCTGTCCATGCATGACAAATCAATCAAATATCTGCACAGCAGTTATGCATTCTGGCAGCATATAAAACAGCACAATAGAGCTTGATTTATTATTTTTCCCCACAGTGGCACTGATCACAAGATTATAAAGTTAAATTTATGTATATCATATTTTGAAAATTACTAGAGCCAACTGTGTGGGCTGTTTATGGTTGATTTGTTAAAGAGAGAATCCATAACTCAGGCACAGAATCAGAAGTGTTGCTGGGTTACACTGTGCTTATTTTGATGTCAGAAAAGTGTTTAACAGTTTCCTTTGACTTTCAGGGCTTTCATTTTTCTTCTTAGTCTCCCTCATCTAACATACTCACCAAAAGCTAGCAAGGGGTGAATGTCAGGATGATGTGATTTCCCCACTAATGTGGAACCTTTCTTCACCAAAGACAAATTGTGACAAAGACACATTGTGATGGCTTACATTGGACAACAGCTTGATGCTGGAGGGAATGCGAAAGAAAGAAAGAAAGAAAGAAAGAAAGAAAGAAAGAAAGAAAGAAAGGGAAGGCAGCAGTTAGGGAAGAGGGGAGGCAAAATCATCACTCACTCAGGATTGAGAAGTTTGGCTAGCAAAAATAAGGGAAAAGTTTTTTTCTGCAGGTATGGCAAATAAGGCACTGGAACGTTTGAGTAAATTAAAAATAGTGTGAATCATAGAATTGTAGGGTTGGAATGGATCCTAAGGGTCATCAAGTCCAATCCTCTACATTGCAGGAATCACAGCTAATGGCCCTCCTCTGTCTGTCTGTCTGTCTGTCTCTCATATGAGAAGCTCTCTTATCTGAGTCCGACTCATGTACCTCAGCACTGTTAATCCTGCAGACTAGAGATGATGGGGATTAAAACTGTGTGTAAAGCTGATGCTCTACCTATGAACTATGTCCTTTCCTTTCAGAATATGTGGTTGTTTCCTTTAAAAAACAAAAACAAACCATATATGCTTGTACGTCTTGGTTCTCTGTCCACAGCCAACCAGTGTTGCATATTCCTTTCATGGCCCTGGGTTTTGACTCCCTAATTTTGATAGAGAAGGACAGAGATTCAAAGGAAGATCTAGTCCAAGTCCATGTTGCAAACACCTGTACAGCCTGAGGAAGCTGTATTGATGTCCTTGGATTTCAGCCCAGAAGCCCCCGTGGAACTACAATCTCCCTGCCCCAATATAATCAATGACTGCTAAATCAGGTAGGCCCCTTTGACTGAAGAGTCTTCGGTGACCTGAGGCAGAGCCAGTCACCCAGGTGGAGCTTCTTCTCTGTTTAAGGCTCAGGGTTGGTTGGTTTGTCTTTGAGTCCTTCCAGACAGGTGTTTTACAGTGGGTGTATTCTGCAACACATTCTCGGCACAATCAAAGTGATGGCTTTGTTCTGTTTTACTGAGTTCTGTGATGCTCCTCCAATGCTACCACATTAGTGCTGTCTAAAGGGGCTGCAGCATGTAAAAAACCAACCCATTCCCACTGTATGATTTGTGCTATGTTATAGGATTTCAAGCAGGAAGTCACAGGATATGCACTGATTAGAAATGATGATGTATGGCCATCCCAAAACTTTTGCAGGCTCAAACAGTATTGAAAGGGAGATTGTACATGACTGTGTCATGAATACAAATAATCAGCAATGTGCAATAAAAAGGAAAGCTAAATGAAACCGTTATTGGGCCTCTTTGTATGACTCTTCAGTTGGAATGGCGCACAGAATTCTTCAAGGTGCTACCCATTTGCTTGGACTTTGCCTAGCTGGAACTTAACTTCAACTTCGCTTGACTCTAACTTATTGAAACCTGACCTCCCATTTGCTTGAACAATATTTTACTGGAACCTGAACTGTATCTTGCATGACTTGGCTTTATCAAAACCTGAACCATTGCCTTGCATGATGCTGCCTTTACTGGAATTCAGATTTGGACTTGCTTGACTTTGCATTGCTTCCCTTGCTGGAAACCAAAGTCATACGTAACACATTCAGACTAGAACCCAATCTGGCTGAGACTACACCAGTGGAACAGAACAGCAGCTTTTGCCACATGCAGGCTTCAGCTTGGGACAGGTCACTGTGACATCTTTTGTGGTGCAATTGCTAGGAGAACTCTGTGTGATGCAGTGGGTCAATGCATCTGGCTGCTAACCAGAAAGTTGGTGGTTCAAGCCCCCCCAGGGATGGCTGTGGACCGAATTCTTGCATTGGATGGGGTTGGACTAGATGACCCTCAGAGTCACTTCCAATTCCATAGACTTCAAGTATTCTAGTATTCTAATGAATATTGAACATGGAACCCTTGAAAGTGACAGCAGGTGCACCCTGAACATCACAAGCCTAGATGGTCAAGAAAAGTATTTTCGAAGGCCAGGTTATGCATTTTATAATAGATAAATAAGTCAGGTAACAGCATCTTTTTGGCATCTCAAGTAGAGATCTTGGTTTGTTCAGAGTTCCTGACTACTTGAACTACAGATTAAACTTGCAATCGTTAACATGCAAAGGACTGCCTCCATTTTCCATGGACCACTCTCCAACTACTCACCTTTTTATTTTTTTAAAGTATCTTTCTTTTTGCTAACTTGTGCATATTTAACTTGAATTTCAAATCCCATGATCCAAATAACTTTTTCATTTTCACTTTTAAATAGTCAAGCATTACACTAAGCTCTCGTGGACTATTGCTTAGCTAGAGAGAATTTGCTTGATTAATTTGCTGATAGGTGGTTTGGTGGTCACTGCCTTATGAGCCCTGCCCCCATCCAGAACCCACCTATGTTGCAGTGCTCACATGGAATTACTTCACAGGCATCTTTCCTCATGCACTTCAATGAAAATGCATTCTGCTGAAGTATCACTTTATTTAACTAATGCATGCAATCAGTAGGTGTCTCGGTTATCCTTTTAACAGCAATATGTGAAAACTTCTCTCCCTTTCATTTACAAAAGAAACCAAATAGCTTGCCCTTATTTTAAGAGAAGGGTCTATCCTGCTTCCTGAAGTGCCTTTAACGTAAGGAGGTTAGCAAATTTTATAGTAGCTCTGAAAGAGGGCAGATGTGGCTTTTGTTGTTGTGATGTTAGTGGTGTTTCTGGTTTAATATGTAAACTCCTTTTGAAATCATTTTTTTTTCTATGCAAGAAGCAAACCTATTTGACACTAGTCAAGGACACAGCCATGGTTGTAACTATGGTCCCCCCTGGTGGTGGAAGACAGGAAATGGTTCCTTTGCTATTTGAATAAAATCGTAATGAGATTCTGATATTCATGCAGGCACAGAAAGCGGATTCTAGTCAGTCACAGCCTTGCTATGGCAGCATTCGTGCTTTTGACATTCCCTTTGCGCAACACTCAGTCATAAAAGGATGGCAGCAGCAGAAGAACAGGCCATGAATCAAAATGCTATAGGGATAGAGCCAAGGACTAAAATTAGGAAAAAGCAGAGAAGTGAGGCAAAGCAGGGGGGTAGTAGGATAGGAACTGAGCGTGGTGCAGAAGATAAAGCTAAGGAGAGCTCAGGATGGCGGGTTTTATAGAACTGTGTCTGGTTACAAGTCTCCAGTCAATAGACTAGTCAATGTTACATTTTCTTTCATATATTTTCTTTCTCGTGTGTTGCAAAAATGACAGCACGTTCTTATTGCTTCAGGTGCATTTGGCTTCCACCACCATGCTGGTTAATGTAATGTTTTTCAAAAACTTAATAATCAAGACTTAGCTGCAATATACAAGAGCTAAGAAGAAAAATATTGCATTAAGTCAGTAGTTTTTGCAGAGATACCATTTTGTGTTACAGAACACAAGCAAAGCCCTGCTGAATTAGGCCAAAGGCCCATCTAGTCCAGCACTCTGTTCTCACAGTGGCCAAGCAGATACCCATAGGAAGCCTGAAAGCTGAACGTGAGCACCACAGCCCTCTCCCCACTTCCAGTTCCCAGCAACTGGTATTCAAAGGCATAGTGCATCCCGCCATGGAGGAAGAACAGTACCATTGTGGCTAGTAGCCACTGATATAGGCTTATCCTTCATTAATCTGTCTAATCTTCCTTTAAAGTCATCCAAGTTGGAAGTCATCACTACTTCTCATGGGAACAAATTCCATAATTTAACTATGCACTGTGAGAAGTACTTTCTTTAGTCTGGAATTTTCAACTTTCAGCTTCACCAGATGTTCACAAATTCTAGTATTATGAGAGAGGGAGAACAACTTTTATCTATCCACTTTCTCCACAGCACGCATAATTTTATAGACTTCTATCTTGTTGCCTCTTACTTGGCCTTTTATTTAACCCCAAACCCCCCAATGTAGAAACTTTTCCTTATAGGGGAGCTGTTCCATGCCCTTTATCATTTTGGTTGCCCTTTTCTGAACCTTCTCCAGCAATACGATGTCCCTTGGGAGGTGAGATGACCAGACTCGTACATGGTATTCCAAGTGTGGTCACACATTAGCTTTATATAACCATATTATGATACAGTGGTGCCCCGCAAGACGAATGCCTCGCAAGACGGAAAACCCGCTAGACGAAAGGGTTTTCCGTTTTTGAGTTGCTTCGCAGGACGAATTTCCCTATGGGCTTGCTTCGCAAGACGATAATGTCTTGCCAGTCTTGAGATTTTTTTTTGCTCCCCCCCCCCTTTTTCTAAGCTGCTAAGCCACTAATAGCCTTTTAGCAGCTAAGCCAATAAGCCGATAAGCCTTTAATAGCTGCTAAACCGCTAATAGCACTAATCCGCTAAGCCGCTAATAGGGTTGCTTCGCAAGACGAAAAAACCGCTAGACGAAGACACTCGCGGAATGGATTAATTTCGTCTTGCGAGGCACCACTGTATTGGCAGTTTCCTCAGGGCTGCAACTGTTTTGCACAAAGATACAGTGGTACCTCGGGTTAAGTACTTAATTCGTTCTGGAGGTCTGTTCTTAACCTGAAACTGTTCTTAACCTGAAGCTAATGGGGCCGCCCGCTGCTGCCACGCCGCCGGAGCACAATTTCTGTTCTCATCCTGAAGCAAAGTTCTTAACCCGAGGTACTATTTCTGGGTTAGCGGAGTCTGTAACCTGAAGCGTATGTAACCCGAGGTACCACTGTACGACAACTCGGGCTTTCAGAGGATCTCCTGGGTGCTGTGGCTTTCCCAATTGCAAGGTCATGTTAAAAACTAGGCTGTGGGACATAGACCGCCAGGAACTAATCTCAGCTGTGGAAAAAACATGTTCCCCTCTTTATTTTTTACTCTATTGGACTCAGGAATTTAACCTTAATTATTTACAATTTTTGTTTAACCCGCAAGAAAGAAGGGCTTTTTCGCTGGCTAGGTTCAATTCAAATCCTTCTAACCTCCTTTGGGGTAGGTTTGCAGGTATGGCAGAAGGAGATAGGATCTGCCCATGTGATGCCCACCTGGTGGAAACTCTAGCTCACATGGCCCTTAAATGTAAAATGATCTCTGGCAACAATTTTTAGACCATCTATGTCTTCCAACATGGAAACCAGGAACAGAGGTTATACGCTTCTTATTACAGGGGAGAGACCAGGAGCTCACCAAGACCGTAGCTAAGTTCCTCTATTTGATTTTTTGTCACCGAAGTACACTACAGGATCCTGCCCTTGCTGGAGTCCCACAGAGATGAAATAGATTATTCGCCTCTTCTTCCCTTTGGCAAATGACTGTACTGTTGAAATGGTGATGAGATCGCACTGGCCTATTTATTCTGAATGTTTGTAAGTGATGCCAATAAAGATTTGATGATGATGATGATATTGGCAGTTTTCAGTTCCTTTGCTAGTGATTCTGTGGAATCTTCCTTCTTTCACAGCTGCAACACACTAGGTCAACATCTTTGTTGAGCTATCAGCTATGACTCCAAGGTCTGGTACCTGGTCAGTTGCTGCCAATTCAGACCCCAGAATATCTGTATATTTTCATTGTTAATTACCTAGTACAATTTTTGTTAAAGAACAGATTGATAACGAGGTGGTATATCACCATGCCATAGCATAACGAAAAGGACAAACCAATGGTATGCGTATTTGGCCTACGTTCTGTCAATTTGAATAAAAGGGATAAGATGATCCAACTATTTAATCAATTTCAGCAAGTCTTAGCTGAGTTGCTCCATGACTTAATGTTGTTCTTTTAGGCATTAATACATATTAAAAGCCATCACAAATAAGGCTTGCACGGAGAAAAGCAAACATGAATAAATGGCTGTTGTTCATTTATGCATTATGATTATCAGATTTCACAAGAATCAGAAACAGTTGAATATTTCACATATTTTAAAGTTACATTTGTTTGCACGTGGGGTCTTTCAGCATTTCTCAGCTGTGTTAAAGCTCCTAATGAAGCTTGGACTAGAACTGCGGCCTTTAGCATGTTATTTCTACCCAGATTATATGCGTATCTGAAGCAATACATTGATGACATTCAGCTCTGTTTACTCGTCTACACCCTCTGCAGGTGAGGTGGCAGATGTGCTGAACTAGTGGCCAGTAAAGTGATATAGGCCCACCACTGTAGTGTCAAAAGGAAAAACACACCACATGAGGTAAACAGATTCAAAGAAACACAATTCCCAATACAAAAGCCATTCCCAACTTTTCAAAAAATAATGAATGTCACTGTGCCCCCCCCAAAAAAAACCTACCTAAAAAAGAAATCCAGCAAGCAGAACAACATTCAACAACAGGAGGCTCCCAGGGTAAAATTTACTCTTAGGGTTCAGCTGCTGTTCGTAAACAAGTCGGGCCCCTGGAGTATTTTACAGCCATGTATTTAATCTGGACCCATCTGCTATCCTATTTATCAGAGCTAGTCCTCCCTCTCCCCCAAAAGTGTTTGCAAATAATATCACTTTTGATTACTGGCACTTTTTCATACAATAATTATTTGCAAATATTAATTTTCCCATATTATTTGACCAGGCGTACTATTTGTCTAAACAACAATATGATAATGCATACACATATACAAATCCTTTGAATCTTTGGGATTTTCTTCCAAAATTGGCATCTGCTGTTGCTGAGAGAAAGCATGTTGGCAAAGATCTTGGTCCCACGATGATTTTGTTTATCATTTTTTTGTACAAGCTTTACTTCACAGGGTGTTTATGAAACTCTCATTTCTTCTCCTGTTTGTGAGAAGGAGATTAAAATTATATCAAACCATATATATGTGTGT